TGTACCCGATTGAGAGTAATCCCGGAATACTCTCTTTAGCGATTAGTCGCACAATTTTTTGCAGGGGAATTAGGCACACTAACACATTCTCACTTTTAGCTCACGCTTGTTTGTGGTAGTGCCCAGTGGGCTCTACCCAAGAATGATAGAATACAAGATTGCGCCAACGAGAGAGGATTTTTGAGCGTAATTTTTGCTTGACGTCATCTTGGTGCAATTGCGAGAGAGAAATGCCAAAACGCATATAAAAATATGTAAACAATGCAGAAAAATGTGTTAATTTTAATATTACATGGCCCAATTTTGCAAAAATCAATAAATATACAAAGATTAATTAATTAGGAATACGTAGCAATAATTTTGGACATGTAGCCATTTAGGTAAGTACGATTTTTAGCACATGAAAAAATGGATGTATTAACAGTGTTTGCAATTTCATTTAGACCAAAAGGAAGGTGTGCAGCAAAGTGAATTTTTGGACTCGCCATTGTAAAAAGCCATGCAGAGTGCATATTTATATTTGTGGACGGTAGCCAATCACCATAAACTCCATTGTACCATTTCCGAGAGGATGCATGAGTGTGGCTTCTTTGGAAACAATTATTATATGTAAGTAAAATATAATTCAAGCTGACTTTTTAAATTTATAATAATTTGGGCACTGTTTTGTATTAGGTACGTACGTTTTGTATGTATGCCATTGCCAGCAAACTAAACCAGCAACTGTCTACATTCACCATGGAAATATACCTATTAGAACTCACCAAAGGAAGGCCAACATAGTTCCATGTAGAAGCAAGCATGTAAATAGTCTTGTTTATTTTATTAGAGTATAAGTATAATTACAATTATATGTGTACAGATTTGCATTTATAAATAATACATATTAGTTAAAAATGAAACTAAAATTAAATACTGAAAAACATATTACAATTGTTATGACGGACTATTGTCTAAATGTACAAACATAAGCGACATATCGTCGTTTAAAGTGCAAAACCGCGTATCAACAAAATGCAAAACCGCGTATCAGTAAAATGCAAAACCGCGTATGTGAAGTTGTAAAAATTATTTTCTAGAGCGTAAAAACACCCATATTTCAAATTGGTTCTCTCTTTTATAAAGAAATCGCATTTCTGGATAGTATATGTCAGGACGAATGGATAAAGAATGAGGCAAGAGCTTGTGTGAGCAAATTCAATTTTTGGCAGCCAATGTCAGTTACGCGGTTTTGCAGAATGACGATACGTAGTTTTGTACTTTAAACGACGATATATATGTACACATCTATTAGCTTTAATCTTGTTCTACCTACAATTTCCTCTGTTTTAATATAAGTATGTAAACCCAATACTTGCCTCAAGCATCTTTGTTTATAATAAAAAAAATCATTTCGAACTGTGTATTATTTTCAATATCTTCACAAGTAAAGTGCTTCATACACACATAGCTCGATTTGGTGTGTAATTCATCTCCTCACCGGCAGAACTGCTTCCACTTTTTTGCCAGATTTGCGTCCGTAGGAAACGAAAAAACTTATATCGCACGCTTTCCTTTTGTTTTCACTACTACACTTTGCCACGGCACACTTCATTTTGCTTTGTAATGTCTCAATAATTGTTTAAAACCACGCAGAAATATTAACGCACAAATATAAAAATTGTTATTTGATTGTTTCGTATTCTCACAATCAACAATTGCACCAAGATGACGTCACGTACACAACTGATTCTCTCAAAATCACAAAGAGCGGATTAGCGGTACCGCGATTGGCGCAATCTCTATTTCTCTCAATCGTGGGCTGTACCCACCTCTGCTCATAAGATCCTAAACTAAATAAACGAGAATACAAAACGCACAACCATTTCGATTATAATGTAATAACATCAAGTTAAGACAAAAATAACACATATTGTTATTGTATGTACATGGCGTATGAGTAACACTCTTTTCTGCTCATATATCATAAAAAAAACTTTGCGCATTTTCATTTGATCACTCACTGGTTTCTTATTTATCAATCGATTTTCTTCATTGGTAGCTTCGTTTTTTTGCTAATAAACAGACTTTCATTTAAAATTAAAAAAAAAACAAAATACAACAAAATCGTAATTATTTTATTTTTCCCTTGTTAAAGTTGGAATTTTTTTAATTTTTTCATCAAAAAAACAAAAAAATTGGAATTATTAATTGATTTCTCAGAAACTATCAGGCTAATCGAAAAGTGATGTACAAGCGGTTTGTGGAGAATTTCCTTACCTTTCATCTACCGTATTTCGTATTACGATTAAGTGAACCACTCTTTTTTATAAGCTGAATAACGGTAAATTGCAAATATCACGAAACGAAAAAAAACTAACTCGATTTTCTGAATCACGAATCCATTCTACGTAGGAAGTGGATAGTGGCGTCTGAAGAACAAAAACAAATCTAAAATTTGTAATCCAGGGTTATTTTTTTAAAGGTTATATATTCTAAATTAATTTCTATGCTAACAAAGCATGTAGATAATTGTTGTAGAGAAAATTTGTACAATTCGTATTCATTATCATATTTACCTAAAAAAGTGATGATGTGGGTGGCTTTGATGATGAAAATAGTAATGAAGATAATGATGAGGATAATTATTATAATGTAGAATTAATGTTTAACATGTAAGTAATGATGATTAGGATTTTAGCAAATAATCTTTAATAATAAAATTTTTTTATGGGAGTAACAACTAAATTTTAACTTTCCTCAGTTTTGGTAATGCCATAAAAATCTACATAAAAAAAATTCCGACTTAACTATTTTCGGATTTGTCTTTTTTTACTTCATTTGGTGTTAGTTATACAAGTACATCAAAATATTTTTAATTAAATGTACGTATGAATTGATCGCCACTTTCAGATCGATTACAGTGTGGCGTCTGGAGAACAAAAACCAAACCAAAATTTGTGATGCAGTGTAATCTGAGATTTTCCTATGTAAACGGGGTAATTAAAAATTCACCCTCTAACAAAAACCACATATTTATGATATACAGATATTATGTAATTAATAAGCATGCCAAGTAGAATATGTCTAATAGATAACCAAACTTCCTGAACATGGCGAAGATATGTGTCCTTCCATCTGTCTTTTTGCACACCAACTGTATGAAAAGATAAAACTTTGATTGCGTTTTCCCACAAAACTGAAATTTTGAAATATTTCGTTATATTATTAAACGTGCGATATGTAAGTCAAGGACTAAAAATTGTACAGAAATTTAACAAAGTCTTAGTAAAATTTTGGTATACAGTTTTATAGCATAACGTCTGTACAGGAATACAATAATTATAACTCAATAAAGGCGAAAGATTACTTTTACTTTGTTCAATGTCTGGTTATCGCTACCTCCCAGTTAAACATCGTTATCGACGATTTCGGCATCATGCATATAACATGTGATCGATAAAGCAGTCGTTGTATTTAACCGGAGTTTCTATATCCAATTTTGTTATCCAGACATTAAACAACCGAGCCTCACTGTGATCAAAAAATTATCTATTAGACAATCAGCTGATAAATAAACAAAATCGAAAACCCCCACATCCATAATTTTGCTTCAAAGTCGTCACTATGATATCACTTCACTTTTCCTTTGAAATCATCCCAAAACACTTCACTTTTGGTTTTTTCATTTCGGTAGAAAATTAGAAAACGGCAGCACTGGTTACCGTAGATTCGAATATGGATCCCGTTATTCAAAATTTCCACACACACACATACCACAATTTGGATCGTGTGAATTTGAATTTGAATTTGTTCCAAATTCACAATGCAAACTTAAAATGAAAATGTCTTGCGAAAATGACCGTAATCTAAAACTCAAACGTGTTTCGGCGTTTTTTTGTGTCATTTAAAAACTTAAAATTCTCTTTACAGTGTAATTTTTATAAAGAAAGAAAACATTGCGATCTGGCCAACATCGAAATTACAAATTATTGTAAGTAATTTTTAAAACATACATCTTTTATTACGGTTTCAATATCCAGTTTGTCCGAAAGCTTTCAGGTAGCTCACAATCTCCCTAAATTCTTTTAAAATCGCGCGATTTTTTATTGTAACTTTCGATATATATGGAAGTATATTACAAAAAAAGAAACAATAAAAACGGAAATAATACGGTTTGTAGGTATCTTTTATAGCTTCGAGAAGCTGTTTTTTAGAATGGCTTTACGCCATAAGAATTCCACTACTGAGTCCGCAAAATGTGATCGGTTGTTATAATATTCTCTGGAAAAAACCCGTTTTACCACTCTCCACTGAGATTCTATTCTCTGGGTGAGGGTCCCATCTGGCGCCACAAACGGGTTGTCCGGATCGCTGTGGTTTACCTTCTGGTGCTCATACCCGAAATCCGGCAGGCAATCGTACGCCCTCCAAAAGTCGGTACGTATGGTAGACCTCTCCACTACGTGCTTTTGAATTAGAGGTATGAGCACCTCAGCAGACCGCGCGTTTTCCGGACACACCGCCAAGCGAAGATCTTCGCTGCCGTCTTCAATCATGCCAAGGACCCAGTGACCCTCAACTCTCCTCCCTAAAAAAATAAAAGCAAATAAAATGAAAATTGAAAGTATTTAATAAAAATAATCCAACTATTTAAATTAATATTACCTTTATTAAAGTTTCTTTTTCCAAATTTACTTTCGTCTATTTGGACAACTTTTCCCGGACCGCCAATTTTGCCTGCACTTTGCTGCTGGTCTAGCTGTTACAAAACTATTGTCTCGCGACAATAGCTGTTCCAGTCAGTGATTGTTCGACTCGATAAGGGACCTCCAACATAGTTTTCGAGCCGCACCGTATGGTGGCTGAAGCGTTGCGCAAAACAATATGTCATATAAAATATATGCGGCAGCGATACATAGGCATTTTCGAACTTGGTCCAGGAAACCGATTTGGTGCGGCATTTCCCCCTCCGGCAAGAAAAACTGCCCAGCTCAGAGTTGCCTTTATTGAGGACAGACATTGGCGTCCTATGCGTCGAGCATAGTTTGCTACGCAAAAGCAGGCCGTTCTCCTCAGAAAATGCAATACATTCCGCAACGGTGCTAAGCCTGTCCCCAAGTTTGCGCAAATTCCACATGGCCCGATACTCTTCTGAGGTAAGCAGCTTAGGTCTTGCTGCCCCTGCGCTTGTCGACGGCTCATCAGAATCTGTAAAAATAATAATATGGAATATATTGAAATAAATGCAAGGAAAAGAAAACTTACCATACTCCGTATCACTCATCTCAAGAAATTTAATTATATTTCTTAGTATAAAATATATAAAAACACTGAAAAGACGCGAAAAAACTCAATTCTAGCTTCTTCATGGGAAAAAAGAAGATGATAATAAAACAAATACCGTTAGAACACGGTTGCCGTATAAATATGACAATTTTACGCACAACTCTTTTTAGTGTTGGGCGCGTTTTAATAAAATCCCTTAATAGTGGCTAATACGGTTTATAGGTGTATTTTATAGCGTCGAGGAGTATGGCAACACACATTTGCTCTTACTGTCGGCCATTGTTATTTCTGTTTGTTTGTGAAAAGTGCTGAGACGTGTGAACGAATTTCCAAGTTTCATGGCGAAATTCCATATACTTTCGCTGAAATCTCGATTGGTTCCGTTTTGGAAAGCCAACCCCTTGGTTTTTAAGATATTTTATTGGTATTTACAAGATATTTTATTCATTTTAAAAGAGGAAAATTTGGATGTCCCCCAAAATATCAAAGCATTTATTGGCAACACGGAGAAAGTGATTTTAAGAAATGTGCCTCCGGGCTGTTATTTTCATTATGGTGTTAAAAGGCAGTTAGACAAAATAGCCATGGCGAGATAGTTCTTGACTTCAATTGCGATGGATTGCCATTATTCAGAAGTGCATGCAATCAACTCTGGCCAATTTTGATGGAAATTATTACTACGGAAAACGATATCGTATTTTGTGTTGGTGTTTACATTGGCACACAAAAACCAAAATGCGTTGAAGAGTTTTTAGAAGAATTCATTAATGAGATGAGTAACCTCCTGAGCTGTGGATATGCCATTCCAAATAAAGTAATTGATCTTAAAGTAAGAGCGATGCTATGTGACGCTCCAGCTAAACCCTTTGCTTGCGGTAGAGTCGGTCATACATCCGCTCATGTTTGTACAAAATGTACGCAGGTGGCTAAAAAAATCAACGGTTTGCTCAAATATTCCCTTTAAATTCAGTCCCCTTATTTCAGATAACGATTTTCGTAAAAAAATTTGCTTAACTCGTCATCATAAAAAATTCCAAAGTGCCATGACGCCTTTCGAAAAAATTGGTCTTCAAATGATTAGCCAAATAGCAATCGATCCTATGTATAGATTTGGGAATGACCCGAAAATTTATTCTTAGACTGATAAATAATAAGTTGACTCTTAAAATCACTGATGAAAAGAAAAACGAAATTTCAAATCATTTAAGATCAATCAAATCGTGTGTGCCTAGAGAATTTGCGCGTTATGGGGGGGTTAACTCTAAAAGATGTGGTGTATATATTGGTATTACCATGGTCTGATAAATGGAGAGTTCCTATAATTGCAATTTCTATGAGTCGGCGGCCACTGTGGTCTAGAGGTTAGCAGTGCGCGCTGCCATTCCGCAGGGCCTGGCCAGTTTAACCCAACACAATTTCTTTTTTAATAGCGGTCGCACCTCGACAGGCAAGCCTCCGAGTTTCGAATAAAATGAAAAATTTGAAATTGAAGTTATACGAGCGAGAAGAATGACGTCACACTATCTTATTTTAAAATTCGCCTTTAATAATTCTATAAAATAGCCGAGTGTCAGAAAAAATGCGAGAAAGTGGTTGTGTTTAATGCGCTAAGGAATTTTCCCAACTATATTTTAATTTTGTAAGAAAGCGCGATCAATATTTACCCATTTATAACGGTTGGTATGCAAAAAAAAACACATATAACAAAATCACCAAAGCGTCTACTTTCAATTAGTTCTCTTCTTATACATACAAAATTTTTACATGAAATCAACCACAAAGTTAGCAAGGAGAGGTGAACCTTAGCGGTTGTCGTTATGCCTATTCTAGGTATTTATAATTACTTTTTAAATTAATGAGTACATTACCAACTAAAACACTTAATTTATGCTTGCGAACCCAAACCTACAAATTGTTTTATACTTCATGGAAAGTACGAAAAACGGAAGAAAAAGCCAATCAAACGACCTTAAAATGCGTTGCCGTAATAGACATGCCAAAAAAGTTAAGTTATTGACTACCCTTGTTATTGTTACACAGAAATTAGCTTTCCTTTCAGAAGTATAACTTCTTATGGACATATGAAAATAAAAGCGAAAGTAAGTACATTTACAATTAACCGAATGAAAATTACGATGAATCATCATTTTATTGTAACAATTGTATGAAGGCAATGGTATTCGGAAATAGATTTCTACATAGTATATTCACTCAACTTAAATTAATACCATATTCCTCATTTGACAATCGAAAAAAGATATATCCAGTCATGCTTCTATAGAATTAATCTCATTTCATCTAATTTTTGTTATCTTCTTTGAGTGCCATCTCAGGAGAATTGAACTCATTTTTCCTTATTTACATCATCGGGCTTTTCTTTGTGTAAGCTCAGCATCTTAATTGCCTTTAATTAAATAATGGCTTACATCCTGTAGCATAGTGGATTTCGATATAGAAAACATACGTAAGTAAGTGTACACTTTTGTATACTTAAGGGTATGAACTTTCCACATCAGCGTATTAGCGCTTTAGTTATTGTCCCTTAATAAGTCAGTTAAATTTTATTAATTGTGATTTTATTTCATTTCGGTATAATAATGTCATCTGAGTGGGAATCTGCTTGGTAATGTCTTATGGAGATTAGCCACACCTCCTCATTTGACTTCTTTTTTGTGATTAAGCGGATTAGAACCATGGCCAAGGCTCTACCCACATAGCTTAGTTCGCCCCATGCAAACTGTGGTTGATTCTTCTCATTTTTCATTGTCAACCCAACCACAATAAAAAGCATAGTTGTAATACATATTTAATTTCATAAACAGATTCTGGTGTACACTTTTAAGTTTCTAGCTGGCTATAGCCAATTAACGAATACAGTATGTAATTTAATTTGAATCACTAAAAAAGAGGTAGGAGGCGATCAGATACGCGAACGAATACACTGTGCAATAATTTTAGGGTTATGAAATCTAACGGGGAAGCGACCAACACAGGTCGATAGTACTGGAGTATGGTAACAAAACTTTAATATCGTTTTGAAAAGTTAGGTCGCTTTTAAAAGCTATAGCCGCTAAAACTTGAACTGTGTCAGTTATCAATTCGTCGTAACAATTTTTAAGTATTTACCGCATAACTTTGGACTACGTTAAGCGATTTACTTATATAATTCTCGAAACACGTAAACTGAATTTTGGCTCATAGATTACGGCCCTGTATACCGTTTTTCTAGATAAGGTCATTTACGCAAGATATTTTCATTTTAAATTTGTATTAGGGCTATTCGCGATTCGGTGCATAAGAGCTGACAAATTTATGCAATTGCAGAAATATGCCATGGATTGTGAGCGACCTTTATTAAACTGTCATGGCAAAGCTTTTGCAAAACAATTTTTGTGCATCAGCTTTGGTTTTGTTTATGAATGCAATGCATAGCATTTTTATGCTATGGATTTTCGGTATTGCAAATTTGCCAAGCCATGACAAATGCAAATACGTGTATTTTGTTTGTGTATTGCAAATAATTTGCAATACAAATTTGCAATGCAATGATGCTAGGCCATTTGCACCAGATCGCGAATCGTCCTATTGTGAATGAAAAATGGCAAACTTTAACAGCGGGAAAAAATTAAATAAAAATCAAATGAAAATGCATAATAATCTATTTTTTAGGAAATATGACTAGGAAGAAATGATACTCAAACGCTAAGTTTGAACTGTTAATGAAATGAAATATATGTATATTTCTGTGGAAATTATTACGCATTTTCATTTGACGACTTACACCGTTATTTATCGATCAATATTTTTCGTTGGTAGCTTGATGTTTTTGTAAAAGAACGGGCTTTAATAGTTGATTTCCACCAAGCCTTAACTGCAGTTTATACCTATTGGGAAAAAGTATATTACAACTAGAGGGGGGTAATTCCACCTATTAAACAAAAGGAAAAAAGCAAAATTTAAGAAATAAACCTTGCCGATCACCCCATGTTGGAATTCTTGGAACTTATCTGAACTCTTAACTGCAGTTAGGCCTTTGGTAGAAATAGGCTATAACACAGATCTGAAAAATTTATTTTTTTTCCCCCTCTTAAAGTTTGCATATTTTGTATTCACAATGCAAGGTTAGGTCAGGTTAGGTAAGGTGGCAGACCCGTGTAACCGAAGCTCACTTAGACAATGTAAGATTGTCCTTTGTGATACCACAATTTGGAACGTGTGAATTTGAATTTGAATTTGTTCCAAATTCACAATACAAACTTAAAATGAAAATGTCTTGCGAAAATGACCGTAATCCAAAACCCAAAATTTAGTTATTCTCTTTACAGTGTAATTTTTATAAAGAAAGAAAACGTTGCGATCTGGCCAACATCGAAATTATAAATTATTGTAAGTAATTTTTAAAACACACATCTTTTATAACGGTTTCAATATCCAGTTTGTCCGAAAGCTATCAGGTAGCTCACAATCTCCCTAAATTCTTTTAAAAATACAAGAATTTGAGATATACAAATTTTCTATATTAAGGCAACAATATGAGCATTCAACAGGAACTTCGTAAATTTTGGCCCTACCTAGGAAAATGTTTACTTTTTTCAAAGATTTTTTTTTTATTACAAAAGAGAAACACTTTAATGTTTTACTTCAGAATTAACCGATGTTTTGAAAGGTGTATTTTACATATTTAAATAGTATTTATATACATTAGAACAATAAAGTGTATGCAGAGTTTTTTGCAATACAAACGTTTTTTTTTTGCCAAATCTATATTTCAGTTTTGTAGCCAATTGAATCTTAGTATAACGAAGCGAAATTTTTAAGATGCTGGAGCTTGCTCATGTTTTCATGCAACGTATGTAAGTAGTATTCCCGAATTTTTTTTTATGTGGAAGAAAAGTGCAAGAAAAAAATTGCCAAAGTCAACGGTAATCCTAGTTTCTTTAAACTTGCACTTGGTCATACTAAAATCTACTGGGCTACAAAACTGCATACCTAAGTTTT